CCGCACAAACCAGACGGTCAGCTCCCCCGCAGCTGCTTCTCCACAGCTGCTTCCTGGGGCAGCGCAGCTGCAGCTGAAAAGCTGACAATATGCAGCTGCGCCAAACAGACCCTTAGTCAAGTTAGATTGCAAAACATAGTTTGCCATCACGAATTTTTGAAAAAAAGAGGTGAAACATAGTTTTGCTAAACACCACAAAAAATGATGTGACACCGCACCGACATCATACAGTTGTCCCAAATGCTCCCAAAATTTCACCGACAATCACTACCAACTACTATTTTTAAATCACTATCTTTTGACCACCGTCATCCAACCATCGTTGATAGACCATTGTCTCTTGAATGTCATAATCCGATTTTTGTTGTTCGATCATCATGAACTCATTATTATCATCACTATATTTACAAGTAATTTTTTTTTACAACCATAAGTGACCAAACTTTCCTAATGCTAAAATTCCGAATAATTTAATTGAGCGAATTAACAGATTTTTATGATCTTGCTAACATAATGAATTATTTAAATTGGGTTAGAATATCCCGTGATGCTTTTGGGGTGACGATATGGTGGTGGTGCAATGTTGCACCACAGTTTTTCTTATTTTGTATAAATGTATTTTACCTGATTTCTGAAAAAACTACAGCTAAAACTATTTTTTTTTCACAATATCTGGCTATCCACGGTGACTGTTAGAAAGCTACAGTCAAACTTTTTCAAGAAAAAAAAAAAACACAACAATTTGAACACAACTTTTTCTTTAGCAGCTTCACTGCTGCCCCAAACATAACCTAAGATTATACTTTCACTTTGTTACCACAAATTTCTAACAATCAATAAAATAAGATAATAAAATTCATTTTTCTATAATTTTGATATGATCCATGCTAATTTTTTTAATACAATAAAATATGTTATAGAAAGCATAAAAATAAAATTTCATTCTATCCAATTTTCTTACAAAATATTTTTTCTAATTTTCTAGTATAAGATTTATGTTTTTTTAATTTAATGAATCAAATCATATGCTTAATTTATTACTTACAAGTTAAGAAAAATAAGTGCAAAATACGAAAATATCCAGCAATATCAAATAACAATAACAACAAATTTCTATCCCAATAAATAGTCTGGGTCCGCTGTATGAATCCTTGTTCTCCATTATGTCCTATTGACTGCCATATCTTTATTTAATTCTAATAAATTATGATCATTTTTATAAAACATGGCCACATCTTTCTAGGTCTACCTCTATCTTTCTTAAAATAAGTTGAATCTAAAACCACTCCCCCCAACTGGACCATATGATGGTAGATGTTTAATATGATAAAATCATTTAAGACGACTTCTCAAATCTTGTCCACCACTCAGAGCTACACTAGCCCTTTCACGGATAAATTCATTTCATATATTTTTCTCTAAGGGTAAAGCCACTCTTCTATCTAAACATCCACATCTAAACAAAACTTAATTTTATGCTTTTATTGTATAGGCCAACATTCTGCACCATAAATCATTGCATCTCACCATCATCTTATCAAATAACAACATAACTCACCCCACCCCCATTTATATAGAGAAACACAAATTATGTAACTATTTGGAAAAAAAGGATAAAAATAAGAGCTCAAAATTGGCTTCCACTACCAAATTAGGTCCATTTGCAGTAATGTTAAAATCACACAAAATACTAAGCCAAACAATATAACACGCTAGTATATAAAAAAAATAACACATATTAAGGCTTATTGTATATAAGAAAATGCAACATATCCATAGTGATAACAAGCCAACATTACTAACATTTTATACAACGATGTTAAAATATTCCACCCACCATGAACATCATTTCTCAATGAAAAATAAGCACATTTCTCTTTATAGTCATATTATTATTCCATTTCCATCTATAAACCTCTCTCTCTCTCTACATATATATATATATATATATATATATATATTACACATAATTCTACATGCAAACTACAAAAATACACATCTATATACTAGTTCTATATTGATTACACAAGCGTACTCGATGTGTATTTCAATCAAATAAAATACACAACGAATACACAAAAACAACACATAATCATATACTCCAAAAAAATAGAGTACATAATTAGTACACAACTATGTATGCCATTATTCTACATGTAAACTTAAAGTTATGCATGTAATCAACACATAATAATCTTTCGTCTATGAGAGAGAAAATGAAGCTTCTAAAACTCTAAAATGAGACTCCCAAAGGGAGCTCTATGTGGAATGCCCTTTCTTCTCTTCGCCGAGCGACAACCGTTGGTGGTCGGCGGCGGCGTCGAAGGTATAAAGCTCTGCACGACCATGCTCGAGTAGGACTCCTCCGAGTCCGAAGATGTATGTGGTGAAAGCCCCCCTTTCTTCTTCTTGTTTAGTTTCTTCACGCCGGATTCATTAGATGTTCCTACAATCTAGAGGAGTTTTCATATGATTAGAGAACATTTCAAGGGAAATTCACATGCATAACCATCAAATTTTATGAATTTACATATCTAACATCTACATTTTAAATTCTATATTAATACCACTGAAATCTATCACTTCAGACTAAAATATTAAATAATAATACTAATAAATTACGAAAATCTATTAAAAAATTGCATTTTTTTCGTTTTGAGCAAGATTTAAGCAGAATCTAGTGACAAAATAAATTCTACAATGCGATAAATCCGAATTTTACGGATTTCGACCGTAAATCACATAAATTTCCGACTTTTAACTCATTCAAGATTTAGTAAATTCGTAAATTCGGATTTTCAGTATTTACTAAATCCTAATGGTTTAAATCTCATGTAACAAATACCAAAAGGAAAGGGAAAGCTTTCTGACAAAATCAAAGTGGGAATGGAGATGGAGAAGAATGAGAAGAGAAAAGGGAGTGAAACCTTGCAGCCGAGGGAGCAGAAACGGAAGGAATCCAGCAAGCTCCGTTCACAGACTTCGCAGTTATTCGTCACCCCCTTTCCCGGCCTTGGCTGCGGCCGCTCATTGAGGAAGACGACTCTTGCGCTGTTGATTATATAAGTCTGAACTCCACTTATGTCCAGCACCTTCTGAATCTCTGAAACCCTAATAACATCATGGTACGATGACCTCCTAATCTGAAATCACAAGCAAATTAGCCAGTTAGCTGATTGTTCCACCATTGTCGGTATACAGAGCAGCTGCAAATCCTAAAGATTCAATTTTTATTCTCTTTGAGAGGGGTGGCGGAGAAGAAAAGGAAAGAGAGTTCAAAAAAAAAAAAATCATTTTTTTACGATTTGTTTTGGGGAAGAACATGAACCGAAAACATCGTCCTCTGTTAAATCATAAAAATTACGTTTTTTAGGAGGCACCGTTTCTGTAATTTCGGAAAAGATTGGATTTTTATTATTTGAATTGGGGAAGAACAGAAAACAGAAGAGGCAGAGCATCGAAGGAGAAGAGAAAAACTGCAAATCTCCATGATCGGACCTTAACGGTATAAATTGAGTAAGAAGAAGAAACAGACCTGGATTAAGCGATGTTCGCGATGGAATGAGAGGCAGAGAGAGCAGAGAGCGCCGTTCATGCAATCAAGGCAGTACATATTGCACTCGCACTTGTGTGCTGCTGCGTGTTGTTTGCAGTGAACGAAGAAGGTGGTGGAGAGAAGAGGGCGAAGCCATGGCGGCCATTTGTTGACTTCTTCTCCTTCCTGTAAAAAAACAATCTCATTACTCACGAACAAGCAGAAGAACTCAATAGGTATCAAGGCGAGGGAAACAGAGCAAGCCTACCATGATTTTTCTGTTCTGATTCAGCTCCATTAATGGCGAGAGCTAGAGGGAGAGAGATGGGAAAGGCGGTTGGGGAAGAAAGGAGGAGGTTCGTTGAGAAGATGGGTTCTGGTGGTTCTTATCCGTTCAAAGTCTTCGCGGCGAGTGTCTGGAAGATGCGGCGGTACAAAGAAATCTTCGTTTCTGGCTGCCCATTTCAATTATTTATTGTGAAGCCCACCTCCTTTGACCAGATGCTGGACTGTGAGCCGAGTTAGATTTGAATCTAAAGTTCGGTTTTGCTTTGCCTTCGTGTTACTTTCTACGAAGATTTTCATACATTTCACTTCATTTTTATATATTTACAAATTTACCAGCTAAAGTTTCAATTTTTACAAATTTACCTCTATGGCTATACATAAAAAATCTGTATTTTATTTATTAAAAGTTAAAATAGTGATACTTGTGATGTGATATGAAAAAAAATGGGTACTATAAATGTATAAAGTGAAGTATTGGCATGGATATGTAAGTACTTTGGAAATGGGTGTTATAAGTGGGAATGCTCTTTTTTTTGGATGATTTTCTTAATTTGAGTTACTAATGTTAAAAAATTGATTTTATATGCATCATAATACATGTATTTCGACAAATATATTTATTTAAATGCTTATTTTTTTTATAAATGCATTTCAAACCTTTTGTTCCAAAAGCTACTAATGAGAAGTTCTTGTCTAATTGAGATTAAATTCAAACTCGAATCAACTTTGAACAATAATTTAAAGTGGTACAAGGAGGAAACTTATAATAGGGAAAGCACCAACATTCATCATATATATGAGGGTAAGTAGGTGGGCTCACTCAAGCTCTATGACACATCAATTTCATCATTGAACAAGCTCTCAAATATCACATCCCCCATTGGTGTAGTAAGCAAAAATATCTTTTCGGTTCTCTTTGAAGCAAGTGAGCATGTTGTCTACAACGAGGATGAGAGAAGGGGACATTCTACTTGCGGCATTCGCTAAAGATAGGGCTCTAGAGAGTTGATTAGAGATGGGATTGACATGCCTTAAAGCCCACATGAGTCTATCCCTTCTCTTCATATGAAACCTTTCAAACCATGGTTCAAGTTGGGAATTGAAGAAGTTTTAATCTTTAAGTTAATTTCTAAGTAATTATGACATCAATAAACAGTCAGTAAGTATGAAAATGTTCTCTCTCATTCCGTGTATTTTTGTTCAAAGAGTACCTTGAAACATATTTGAGTACATAAAATTATACAAAACATATTTATTTGAAAGTTTGGATTTTGAGGCATACAAAGTTAAAATTTCTCATTAGCTTTAAGTTTTATTTTAGTTAATAATATCATAAAATATCCCCCATTTAAATTATAAAATAATGTAGTTTGAATATAATAAACGAGACCTTTTTAATGAGATTCATTATTCAATGAAATCTCAATTAAATATTTATAAAGAAATTTCATCTTAAACTTTACTAAAAAACAATAATACCAACCAAAAACATTATATCAAAAAAATCACCACTAAAAATTTTTATGAAAGTGAAATATATATTTTTCATGTAGAGATTTATAACACCAAATTTTTATAAATGTGCACATCAAACTTTAGGTGTTGGTAGAACAAAAATGATGGACCACTCTCAAAAAATATTTTAATTTTAACTCATATTTGAGATAACATTGATGTTTACTTTAGGTCAAAGTTAAATCTACCATATTGAGTATAATTTCACTCCCACAAATTAGATTGATTTTAGATTTTAAGTCTATCCTAAACTAGTTTGATAATTCAATCAAAAGATTTAATGATCTGTTTGGGATAATTTTCTGTCTGTTTTATGTTTCAAGCCGTCATCATAGTTCTGTTTGTTAAATCATTTTCTAAAATTTTTTGTGTGCGAAGCTATTTTTGGCAATCATATTTGTCAAGGTGTGGTGACTCTAAAAAGATGTCATCAAACTTTTTAGAAAAACAAGTATTAATAACCCTATGAAATCCTATGAGTTGCTTTCCCATCACACACTATCCAAACGGACTCTTAGACTATGCTTGGAAGCACACTATCAATAGATTTAGCCAAATATTAATAAAAAAAATGGAACTTAAAATCCAATACTTTGTTAAATCATAGAAATAAAAGTTAGTTTACTTTTTAGAAAGAATTTAAAATTTTCAACGGTTATTTAATGATGGAAATATACATGCTCGAGCACACACCCATTATTATATCTATAATAGTTTACCTATAAATGAATATTTATTTACTTTCTTTGGGGCATTTCCATACATGTCACCCCATTCCTACATATTTATATATGAGACATAAAAATTTTGATTTTCTTCATGTATATATGTTGAATCCTGAGTTTTTTCTCTGAATCATATTGGGAATAGAGTGTAGCAGAAGAGGAAGAGAGAGAGAGAGAGAGAGAGAGAGAGAGAGAGAGAGAGAGAGAATATTAAAAATGGGGAAATTGTGTAACTATTTATTTATGAAATGATCATCTATTTATACATAAAGGGGGTACATGAGTTGAAGTTACATATGTGCCCCATTTAAATAGGGTATGTACAGGTTGTTCTAAGAATTTTGACTCCTATGGGCCCAAGGCCTTGATGTTATTTTGCTTGGTCGACTGGACCGACAAGGAGAAGCGGTCGGCCAAATGGAGATGGACCATGCATCGACCGGTTGATCCTTCAGCCATGGCTGATCGGTTGAATTTTTTAAGATAGTCGGCAGGACTGATCCAAACGGCTGACATTAGCCAACCGAATATATAATTCTTGTCGGGGAGTTCCTACTAGTTGAGTAAAGCTAGGTCATCGGGCAGATTGCGATTCAACGTAAATCGATAAGTAGTTCACACTTTGGGCGAGATGATCCAGTTGAGGGTGGTTTGAGCCCATGATTCCATGATGTCTCGAGGGAACCCCGTTATCTTTGACAACATGATGAGTCGTCTGGGCAAGTATTGTTGAATCGATTTAGATGACCTCAGGTAAGCAGATCGCTCTTCTAGATAGTTGGGTAGTTTTCTGGTGAGCCTACCTTTGCTATATCATTTTTTTTTGTCATCATATTACTTTAAGATTCATGCTGAAAAATTTTTCTCATGCAATATCATCTAAATCTTTAATATCTTATAAAAACACTCACTATTTTGATTAAAAAAAGGTGAAATATAACCATTTTATGCATAAATAATGTGCCATAAAAAATTGAAATTGTGTTTTAGATATATAAATACATAAAATTTGAGTGATATGTATATGTTGAATTTTTTTTAAGACGTTATATCCCGTATGGTTCACACAACTCTGGAGAAACTTGTGTAAGGAGGATGAAAAAGGAATGAACCTGTTTTTTAGGCCTAAACTATATGTTCTTACAATGATCATTCCCCGGACGGAGAAGATGATTTAACAAACAAGAAAGAATTAAAGAGAAAACAAGTGAGACAGAGTTACAATGTGAGATCTCCCAAGAAAGTCTGGAAGAGAACGTCCTCCCCACTTGGATCTCTCTTCTCTTTATTTATATATGTTTAGAAAAATATTAAAATATAAGTCGTGACATGTAAAATTTGTTCACAGTATGTCCATGAAAAGATTACGACATGGAGATCAGGTGGCTCAAAAATGAGGACATCATATGTCAATCATTGATGTCGTTCTTGACTTTTTGCATACTTTCAATTATGTGGATCAACTGTTGAGGCGAGTTTGGCAGAAAATATGATTGGTTTGTTCTTTAGATAAATATGACAAGTCATTCAGCTAGTTCGATTTGATAGGTTCGTCTGCCAGGCCAATCCTCCAGTTCAGCTCGACAACTAGTATAGGACAAATTACACGTCAATGAGTAGGGGCAATAGGCCACCTTAGCAGATTATTCTAGTGGTGTGGACTTATTAGACTCATGAGGCCTGTCAGACGTGTGCTGGCAGACAAAAGATGATTTTTGGTATACGGTACATACATCTTTCTCTATATATCAAAGTTTAAATAGTAGATATGTGAATAAATACAAAAATGTGTGGTATGTATATAAGTGCCCCTAACCTTCTAGCATTTGAAATGAAATCTTAGGATTTTATAAATTATTGTTTTTGCATTTTAAAATTTTAATGAAAAGTAAATTGGATTCTTTTTTTCTAAAGGCTCACTCATAAAAAAATTTATAAAAAAATATTTCATTTCTATAAGAAATAAAAACTCATTACATTTTTTCTCTTGTACCCTCAAGGCCTTGATTGATTCATTAATTTAAGCTTGACCACGGAATACAATTAATTACATCCGTGCCATTGACCATTTTTTTATAAATGCCACGTCTTCTTCACTTTCAACTCTGTACGTGTTTCTAAGAAAGAAGGTAGAGGCTAATAATTCTCTCTCTCTCTCTCTCTCTCTCTCTCCCTCTCTCTATTATGTGATGTATTTTGGAAATTATTTTGTTGAGTAAAAAACTAATGAGAAAATGGAGCTAATTTTAAGGAAAATTCGCATGCACACCACACAATTTTTTATTTATATATCTACCATTTAAATTTTAATATTTACATTTATATTCATTAATTTTACTTGTACATTCGAGATAGAACTACAATATGTATTTTATATATATATATATATATTATGGATGATGACACCACAAAAAATGAAATATAGTGTCATCATCCATAAAATTATGGCATTATTTGTTGAAATGTTCGTCTTAATTTGAGCAAATTTATTTCACATACCTACTATATAAAAACTTATGTGATCATTTTAGTCGGAACACTTTTTTAACATGAGTCAATAATTACAATATCCCTCTTTTCTCATGATCATAAGAGAGATATGACATAAAAAAATAGATTGTATGGGGTCACTTATGTTAGTGATCCTTCATAAATAAGCATAAGAGATTATAGGGGTGAGTGACATAATTTACATCAATGAGCATTGGATTATTAATTAAAATGGTTGTAGGGCATCAATGATAAATGATAAACAATGAACAACTTGTTATAATGGACGTTGGGGGCATGTTGAGGATTATCGAGCACCTGACATTAGGGGTAGGTGGCTCAATTTCTCTTTCATTATTCTTTTGTTAAGTGAAGATTATGCAGCCCCAGAAGTAAACAAAAAAGTAAGCACTTGCATAACATGAATTTGTGGGCAATCAGAAGATTTAAATTGG